GCTGCGTTCCCCACCCTTGGAGGCCAGCAGTCCCCTGGGTCAAAGGGGATTCTTTTCAGGCAGCTTTGGCTGTGCCATCTTATTCTACCCTTTCTTGACAGTCAGGGCTTGTGACATCTCCAAGTGTGCATGTGCTTCTGATGACAAGTGTGCTCTCCGGAGTCTACACACATGCCTGGGCACACATTTGTGGGTGCAGCTAAGCAGATCTGGGCACCCCTCTCGGCCCCCAAAGAATTAGCTGGGTGAAGTCCACAGGGGCAGCTGGCCGGCAAATTACACGCAACCCTTTCATAGAGCACATTTGTTCTGTGTGGGAGCTGAGGAGAGTGTTGGCTGCAGTGAGCAGGAATTCCTCCCTCACCTAGTGGGCGCCATAAATATATCCCCGTCTGTGGCTGAAAAAAAAAAAAAAAAAAAAAAAAAATATATATATATATATATATATATATATATATATATATATGTATATAAACACGCTATCGGTCAAGGTTTGCGGGCAATGCTAGGTTCCTCCTGGCTGTGGGAGCCTCCCCTCCTGAACACTGCTGAAGAGGCAGCATCCTCTCCAAACACACACTGTGCAGACAGCAGCAGAAGAGGAGCGGGACTGGAGGGAGGCACCTTGAGGGGAGCCCAGAAGCAGGAGCCCAGAACCATAAAGGAAGTCCCTGGCGGGTAGAGGTTCAGGGGGTGAGAAGCCAGAGTCTGCATGGGGTCAAGGGCAGCACTGGGGGGCTTTGTAATTGTCTGGGGATACCGAGGGACCCGAGGGAGGGAGGGGCCCATGCTGGCTACTGTCAGCAGGGCTTGGCAGTGCTCTGGGCACTGCCTGACACCTCCAGTCCACCAGCCATTGATGTAGTGGAGTGACCCATGGTGCTGGTGGATGGGGAGCCCAGAGCCAAATCCCGTGTCAGAGGCTTATTCTGCAGAGTCCACTTGGGCCCTGCCCAGAGTCCAGATTTATCATCTGCCCCTTCAGATCCCTCCTTTCTATCAGCCTTCGGGGTAGCCACAACCCCTGGCAGGGGTGCCTGTGCCTTAGAGGCGTGAATTGCCTGAGCAGCCCAGGTCCCCAGAGAGGGACCTTCAGCAGAGCTGTGCACTATGTGACACAAACCAGCCTGAACACCCCCCACCTAACAACACTGAAAATGAGATTCTCTCCCTCCCAAAAGCTGGCCTAAGGTAGGGACCCAGATGCCTGCTTATCCAGGCATCTGTCAGACACAGTGGCAGCTGCACTTGATGGGTGGAGTGGGAGGCAGCGTAGAGCTGGGAGGAGACCTGCGCTCCTCAGCACTAGGACCCCGGGGCCATTGGATTGTCTTGGGTCCAGGGTGGTAGGGGGATCCTCTATCCCATCTCCTCCCTCTACAGGAAGTGGTGGGAGCTCTGGCCTTTGAAGAGGGTGGGTACAGGGCGGGGGTTGGGGTTTCTTCCCCTCCTTAATCAGAGTGGCCTTGAACTGGGGGTGTGCAGTTGGGGACCCCTCTCCTCTCCTCTGGCAGCCAGGCCAGAGAGAAGGTCCAGGTGGAAAAGGTGCCAGGAATGTGGCCCCAGAAGCCTGGGGACCCGGAGAGAGCCTCTGGGTATGAGCTGTTTGGGAGAGGATAAGAGAGGGAGCCAGCACCTGCCTGCCCTGTGCCAGCCAATACCATCCCTGCTTCTCCACTGGCCCACAGGCCACCAGCTGGCCCATTGTCCCCGGTGAGAAAGCAGACCCTGGGAGGGGGGCTCTGTGTGGGCAGGGACTCACTCATGCACGTGTGCCTGGCAGGGACTGTCAGGGAAGAGCCACCCTGGGCTGGGGGCAAGGAAGGAGGAAGGGGGGTGGCAGGGACACGGATCGGAGGATCGGATCCTGGAGGCACAACCAGAGTCAGGGAGGCAGCCCTCCACCTCCAGAGTGGAGAACGGAGCCCCGCTGTGCTCCATCAGGTCCCCTCCTGTGTGTTGGCAGTGGGCAGTGTGCGGGGCCTGTGAACAAGAGATAAAGAGTTCAGGCAGAGTGTTTTTTCTCACTAACCGTGGATTTGTGTGTTTGTTCAGCTGGTGGCTCTGATAAGCCCTATTCTGCCAGATAAAAGCCAAGCAGCCATGAGGGGGGCCTGGGGAGGGGCGTCACAAAGGGGCCTCCTCCTCTGTGTCCGGAATCCCCGGGTCATCCCCTCCCCCAGGGAGCCCAAACAAAAAGGGGTCAAGGTGCAGGCTGCTGCGCAGTGTGCCTCCCTGGGCACAGCTCCTGGTACCTGGGGTCTGTCCAGAGCAGGCAGCCCTTTGGTCAGGGCTCCCAGAGAGCCCACCCTAGGAGATGCCGGCCCGCTGGCTCCCTCGTCTCGAGGGGCAGAATGTCCCTTCGTCTTCCTCGGAGCCAGACCGCCATGGGCCCAGTGATTGCCTGGGCCCTGCAGCCACCGACTGGGTCCCTGTGAACTCCCTGCCCTGTCTGTCCGAGGCACGTCCCTGAGCTGAGGTTCACATCCCTTCCTGTCCCAGTGTGGCCATGACTCTGTCGGGCAGTGGTCCACATTTGATCAACCAGTAGAGTCCTTGGGCTTGGATGTGGCCCACTTGGGCTTCATCAGCCCTTGAGCAGAGCAGTGGTGTCCCCAGGACCCTGTCCTCCCTCCCTGCCTCTTCCACTGTCTGTGCCAGGAGGGTGAGGGCTGCGGCTGGAGCGGACCAGCGGGGTCCTGGCCATAGCTGCCCCGGCTGCAGGGCTGGCTCCTCCACCTCAGATCTCGGGTCCAGCTTTCTAGTGCCTTTGCCTTTTGTCCTGACACCGAGCTGAGCATGTCGGGCCTGGCGGGGGCGGCATTGTGGGGACGCTGGCGAGGCCGCCGGCTGGGCCGCCGGCTGTAAGATGGCTGCCAAAGCCTAAGATGGCTGCCAGCAGCGCCCGGAGCAGCGCCTGGAGGCGCGTGGCGTGGCCGGTCGGCCTCGCCTTCCCTCCACTTGCTGCTTAACAGTGGCTAATGGTGACGACCGGAGTGCCCTTGGGGCAGTGTCCTGTGCTGCAGGGGTCCCTCCTGCCTGTCACGCTCTCTGCCTGGGGCTGGCGCACCTCCACCCCTTTGTCAGGCGCTCTCTGTCCCTGGCTGGGCCTGTGCACACCGCCTCGGGCAGCGTGTGCGCAGCCTCCCTTCCTCACCTTTGCAGTGGGCCAGCGGTGCTCCCATGGGTGGACTCTGAGGCCGCCTACCCCACTGACTGGGCCCAGAGGCCTTGGTGGGATGGAGCTGGCCCCAGGGCTCATGGCTCATGGCTGGGTCGGGCAGCAGGGTCAGGGCCACATGCTCCCTGCTGGACTCTGCATGCCAGTTCTGAGGCATGTGCCCTTTCCTGAGGCCCGCAGTGAGGGAGTCTTACAGCCAGGAGGCCCTGGCGTGGGCCACCTGCCACCTAGGTCCCTCAGCTCCCTCCTGGACAGGCCAGGGATCCGGGGATGGGCCAAGATGAGAAAGTTCACCCCTTGTGACACTAGGGCACAGAGAGGTCGCCCTGCCAGGGAGGTCTTGTGGCTCCCTCCACAGTGGAGAGTGCCACCAGCCAAGATATGGCCCCAGCCAGGATCCACTGTCTTTATCTGCAGGCAAAAAGGGAGGTGTTAAGCCAGAGTCAGGCACTTTCCTTACAATGTTTCCTTGATTTGTTAGAACAAAGTTTCTTATTATTTTTGAAATTTAAAAAAAAATGGAATAAGGTAAAGGATGGGGAGAATGGGGCCCCAAACAGTCACCCTTTTCCACACACATCACCTCAAGGCAGGGAGCCAGGAGCGTGGCCAGAACTCCCAGCTCCAGACGTGGCAGGGCCTTCACTCTGAGAGCAGGGCCGCAGCAGCAGGCTGCTGTTGTGCATGCCAGCCCAGCGCCCAGCTCTCTCCCTGTGCCTCTGGGGACAGCAGACTGAGTGCAGGTTGTGGGGAGGCCCAGGGGGTAGGGTCACTCTGAAGAGTTGAACAGAGCCCTGGCCAGCACCACAGCCCGTTCAGATGCCACCACACCACCAGCCTTGCAAGCGGCCGATGCTTTACCAAGCGCCTGCCTTCTTCCTGCCCCACAACCTGCCCCACCACCCTGGCACCCTCTTGCCAGCTGTCGTGTCCAGGCAGGCATTCTGGAGGTCCCCGTTGTGTCCCTGGCACACAAAGCCTTGAGGACCTGGGGCGGGGATGGGGGGGCTTTCCCAAGCTCAGCAAAATATTCACATACACACACACACACACACACACACACACACACACACACACTCCACCCTGCCCCCAGCCCTCTGTGAGCTCCACTGCACAATGAGCCCTTGTCTTGGGGCTCCCTCTGAGCAGCTGTGGCACTGGGGCATGAGACAGCCTAGACAGGCTGGCACAGAGCGGGTGGTGGCAGGGCAGACCTCCCGCTCAGGGTTGCCAGGCTCTGCTTGCAAGCACAAAGGTGAGGTGGGGGAGGTGCAGGCCCACAGGACTGGCTTCAACTGATGAGGTTAGGGGTGAGCATACTCCTCGGGACCCTTGGGTCCGCCACAGCCACAGATGGCCCTGCTTGCTGGCTTCTCTCCTGGGCACCTCCTTGCTTCTAACTCTTAGCTAGTGCCATTCACCCATGGGTGACTTTGTTCCTCAGGGGACATTGGGCAGTATCTAGAGACAGTTTGGGTTGTTACTGTTGGGGGCTACTGGCATCTAGCATGGAGGCCAAGGGTGCTGCTAAATACCCTGTAATGTACAAGATGCCCCCCTCCACCCCACCCACCCCATGGAGAATGATCCAGCCCAAATATCAGTAGGTTGTCAATAGGCAGAGAAACCTGCACTGGGCTAGAGCTATTTGTCTTTCCCTCTGCTGGTCTCCCTGGGCTGGCTGGGGAGAGGGCACTGGGTGAAGTTGTCTGCTGGCCAGGGTGGGCCACCCTCCCCGTAGAGCTTGAGGGCAGCTGCTGAACTGCAGTTGATGCAAAGCTTTGCCCCTGACCCATGCTCCCCTTTGTGTCTCCTGCAGAATCCGGACAATCAGATAGTTCAAACCAGCAAGGAGATGCGGACATCAAACCACTGCCCAACGGTCAGTGTTCCCTGCCCACCACTCCCCGCCCCCTGCTCATTGCTGCCCCACCCTCTGGCCTGGCCGACTGGGATTCTCCTTCCCTCAACCATCCTTTGACTGAACTTGGGTTGCCCTCCCAAGGAGAGGGACTCACCTGGGGCAAATGTCCTCTTCAGGGAAGACCTGGGAGCTAGCCTGGAGCCCACACAGGGCTGGGAGGGAGGGAGTCAGAAAAATGGGAAGGAGCGTTGGGGAAACAATCGGACAGCCCCCTCCCAACCTGGCCTGACTCACTAGCCCTTTTCCATCTTAGGGCACTTAAGTTTCCAGGACTGTTTTGTGACTTCCGGGGTCTGGAATGTGACGGAGCTGGTGAGAGTATCACAGAGTAAGTGAGTCCTTCCTTCATGCTAGGGACCAGAATTGGGCTGAGGTTGGGCTGAGGTGTGGGGACTTGGACCTCACAGGGCCCCCGTTCTGATGGGGTCTTAGATCAAGCGAAACAGAGAAGGGACTTCCTCTGTCTCTTTGGCCGTAGGCTGGGTGGAGCAGAGTTGTCCAGAGAGCCCCAGCCAGCTCTAATCTCTGCTGCTTTAGGGAAAAAAAAGTCACAACCAAAGGCTCTTCCCTGAGGACCCCCAGTAGGGGTTGGGGGGAGGTTTTCTCAGCAGCACAGGTGGCCCACCTTCCTATCCTGTGTTCCTGCAGCAACCCCCCCCCCCCGGGGCTTCTGGGAGCTGCTCACGGCAGTTTACGGGCCCTGTGGGGCCTCTGGTACCTTCTAAACCTCACCAGCCTCTTACTCTTCCCAGCTCCTGTGGCAACAGCGTCAGGGCCCAACTTCTCGCTGGCCGACTTGGAGAGTCCCAGCTACTACAACATAAACCAGGTGACCCTGGGGCGGCGGTCCATCACCTCCCCACCTTCCACCAGGTAAGCCTAGCACTGCAGCCTTCGGTCTGCCCCAGATGACCCCCCGTTATTCAAAGTGCCTGGGCCTGGATGCTTCAGGATGTTACCCCTTGTTGGAGGCACTAGCTCGCAGTGGCCTGGACCCACTGTACTCAGCTACCCCACTGAGCTTCCTGTCACACAGCACTTGCCCCTGGGGACCAAACCTGCACAAGTCATGGCTAGAAGTAGAGTCTGGCAAGGTCTCCTCTTGGAGAGGTGGCACTTGATCCGAGACACATGGCAGAGGTGGTGGTTGGGGGACGTGGGATGGATGCTCCAGGCAGCCTCCCTCCAGTCAAAGCTGGAGAGGTTGGCAGGGCCACCCCAAGAGGACTTTGGAGACCTGAGGAAGGCATGTGGACTTCATCTAGAGCGGCAGAGACACTGAAGAGTTTTGAGCGGGGCATGCTGGGGTTGTGTGTTCCAGCAGCTCCTCCAGCAATGTGTGGGCAGGGCTGACAGAGTGGGGAGGCCGAGCCTCCAGGCTGGGGTGGGGAAGGGTCTGAGTAGGTGGATTACGCTAGAGAGAAGGGGAAGAGTTGAGAGGTGCTAGCCGGTACTCAGTTGGCCTCATCAGGCACATCTTGCAGGGAAGAGTCAGGTTCCGTCTTCTTTTATTCATTTTTATTTTTTATTTTCTTTTAAAGATTTACTTTTTAGTTGTAGTCGGACACAATACCTTTATTTATCTATTTATCTTTATGTGGTGCTGAGACTTGAACCCAGGGCTTCGCACGTGCTAGGCAAGTGCTCTACCACTGAGCCATAACCCCACCCCCATGGTTCTGTCCTCTTTTTTTTTTTATTATTATTTATTTATTAGTTATTGGCAGACACAACATCTTTGTTTGTATGTGGTGCTGGAGGATCGAACCCGGGCCGCATGCATGCCAGGCGAGCGCGCTACTGCTTGAGCCACATCCCCAGCCCGGTTCTGTCCTCTTTTAAAACTAGGATTTTTTTGTTCACTGTGAGGTTTTAGGCTGTGTGTGTGTGTGTGTGTGTGTGTGTGTGTGTATGTGACTAGCGATTGAACCCAGGGGTACTCTACACCTGAGCTACATCCCAACCCTTTTAATTTTTATTTTGAGACAGGGTCTCGCTAAGTTGCCTGGACTGGTCTTGAACTTGTGATCCTCCTGCCTCAACCCGCCAGAGTTGCTGGGATTACAGGCATGTGCCACCATGCCTGGTTATGCATTCATTTTGAGTTTTTAAAATCTTTCATTAAAATATTCTTTACCTTGATGACTGAGTTTTGTAGCACCTCTGACCTTTTTGTCTCTGAGAGTACCTCACCGGCCCTTGGGGACTGACAGGAAATGGTGGGTGGGGCAGAGGAAGCAGGTGCTCCCTTCTAGGATGGGCCCTGGATGGACCATGAAGGGCTCGTGAGGGAGCAGATTTTGGAGCTGCCTTGCTCCAGGGAGCAAGTGGGCTGGTCTCAGGTTGGGATTCCAGGGGAGCGTCCAGAAGCAGTGCTACTGGCTGGCACCTGCTCCTCGCACAGGGAGCTGTCAATATACAGTTCTCCAGCCGGGGCACCCAGTGACTCCTTGGAGCCTTGGCCCATCTGACCCTCTCTTCCTTCTCCAGCACCACCAAGCGCCCCAAGTCCATTGATGACAGTGAGATGGAGAGCCCTGTCGACGACGTGTTCTATCCCGGGACAGGCCGCTCCCCAGCAGCTGGCAGCAGCCAGTCCAGTGGGTGGCCCAACGATGTGGATGCAGGTATGGGCATGGCAGTTCCATCTCACTCAGCCCCAGAGCAGCCAGAGCTCCACTGACTCCCCCATTGTCAGGTGGCCCTGCCAGTCTCCCTCCTAGATTTCTGAAGTGGGCACACCAACTGAAGGAGGGGAGTGGAGGCAAGGAGCTGGGCCACCCCTGAGTGGGCAGCAGAACCTATGGGCATGGTGGGGAAAAGTCTGCAAGCCTCAGGTGCCCTGTGGTGGGGGGCTATGGCCTCTGCTTCACAGCCTCCTCCTCTTGATATTTCTGCAGAGATTGCCCAGCCTGGTGGTCCCCAGAGTTTAAAGCCATTTTCTCAACCAGGGCCCCAGTGGCATTTGAGACCTGGTCACTCTGCAGTGGGGACAGCCCAGTGCATTGTAGCGCTGGGTGGCATCTTTGGCCTCCACCTGCCAGATGCCAGTAGTAAACACTCACTCCCTGTTTTGAGGAACAAAAATGTCTTCAGACATCGCTGAATACCTGCTAGGGGACAGACTCTTCCTGGCCTCAAGGAGGCAAACTTACAGGGAGATTCAGAGCCCAGTGAAGAGCAGGCAGAGCTGTTTTTAGACCAGGCGGGGAAGCTCTAGTGAAAGGTGAACTTCTGAGAAGCCTGTAAGAAGCAGCTCAGACCTTTGCTTCCCTCTGAGTGGCCTACACATGTGGAGCCCACCCACCTTCACCTCCAGTGTTGGCTGAGGGTGTGGACAGACTAGAGAGCTCAGGAGGGAGTGTGTGTGCCCATGCTCGTGCGTGTTCGTGTGTGTGTGTGTGTGTGTGTGTGTGTGTGTGTGTGTGTGTGGTGGGGGAAAGGGTGAGAGAGAGGAGGCTCACTGTAGGGGATCCTGCCTGACATGTCGGACCTATGGCCTATGTAGGTCCTTAAGGGATGAAGGTCTTGGGGCCTGGGAGTGCATATCTGCTCATGTGGGGTGTACACAGGGCATATTTGCTCTGGACAGGGCTGGAGACGGAGGACTGGGCTTTATTCATTCAGGGTCTGACCTAATGGCACCTTGTCTGCTACAGATTGGGGTCAGGGATAGGGGTGGCCAGTGGAAGGGCTACAGATGCAGGCTCTGGCTTCTGCTCTTAGCTCCTGGGAGGAAGCAAAGCCTCCAAGCCTTGACTGAGGGAGTGGTCTCAAGACCCTCTAGACCTCTAGTGGAGACTGGACTCTGCAGGAAGAAGCCCCAGCATGAGCGTGACTTTGGTGGCCCTTCTGTGTTTTCTTGTGACAAGTCCTGGGCTAGCATGGCCCATACGCTCCTTGGGGGAGCCTCTGGTGGCAGAGAGAGGGGGAATTGAGAGGACCCAGGAGACTTGGGCTGCATCCCAGGCCCCTGCCAGGACCTCAGTCAGGTGATCCCTCCTGCAAGACTGCCACTGGTATGCCTTGAGGCCCCATCTGCTGCCACTTGCTCCTGGGAGGAGGGCTTCCAGAACCCTCCTCACAGACCTAGTATCCAAGGAGCCCTTTTCTTCCTGGCCCCTGCTTTTTCCTTCTTAGCTCTCTGCTCTCGCGCCTGCCATTTCTGCTTCTTCCTGCAGTCCTGCCATGCACGGCACCCCCAACATTCTCCTGCAGCACCTCCAGCTCCCTCCCCTCCTTGTCGTGTTTCCCTGGGCTGCGACAAATCGCCAATTAAGCAGCCCAGCTGCAGGATGGGGAACAGCTGGGGAGGCGCTGTGCGGCAGCAGGGACAGCTGTGCACAGCTGGTGGGGGGCTCCCTCCCCCCACCATGCCAGCTATCAGGTGGCACACAGCTGCCGCCAGATAACACCTCTGCTGGCGGCTGGGAGCTCGCCCTTCCCCCGCCTCTTTCCAATGCCGTTGTGGCTCTTCTTTCTCTGTTCTACAGCCCCCCCTCAACTGACGCAATTTGTCCCTCAAAGATGGCAGCTCTACAGATCTGCCTCCCCTCCACCTCACCTCTCCCAGGAAGAGAAGTTCAGCCAGGACAAGGTTCAGTCCAGATGAACTCCCCCAGAGACCTCACCCACTGGGAGCCCTCTTTGCCCTGGTGTCTTTGGGATGTCACACCTATTGGGCAGAGATGCCCTTGGCTGGTAGTTTCTGGCTCTTTGAAGAAGCTCAAATAGGGTGTCTTCTCTGTGCCTGTCTCCTGCAGAATACCACTCTGGCACCAGGAGCAGAGCCCATCCCCAGCTCCAAATCCCCTGAAAAGGGGCATCCTTTCCCTCTGGCTCTGCCCCTAGGACCTACCCAGGCCCTCTGGCCCCACTCCCTGCTGCTCTGTTGGATGTGTGTCCCTCCCAGGGCCCCTGACTGTGCTTTCCCTTCCCAAAAGGGAGCACTGGTTTCTTCCCACCAGAGCGGCCCAGGGCCCAGAGTACCTCCTGGGCTTGGCCTTTGGCCCCCTTCATCACAGCCATCACCCAGGCTCTCAAACTGGCTCCCTAGGTTCCTCCTGCACCCCATTTCTGATGCTGGCCCTGTGGTCGCCCTTTTTATTCCCTTATGTGTTTGTTAGTGGGCAGGATGGGCTCCCCTTGCTCAGCCCAGCCCAGCACATGCAGCCCATGTCATGCAGGGGCTTTATTTTCCTCTCTTGCCAGAAGCACCCACGGCCAATCTGCACATGGGGCATGGAGGAGCCCAGATAAGGCATCGTGGGCAGGAGGCCTCATGGTGGAAGAAGGGCTGGCAGGGGCACCCTGAGGATAGAGGGAGCGAGCTGCTGGCTTCCCACCTTTCCTGCTCCCACCCCGGCCTGGCTAAACCTGCCTGTGTTGCTGCTTCCTCCCCCCAGGCCCGGCTTCTCTAAAGAAGTCAGGAAAGCTGGACTTCTGCAGTGCCCTCTCCTCTCAGGGCAGCTCCCCACGCATGGCTTTCACCCACCACCCGCTGCCTGTGCTTGCTGGAGTCAGACCAGGTGAGAAATGGGGGACCCGGAGCGGGCAGTATGGGAGGTGGCCAAGTGCCAAGGGGAAGCTGACCAGGTGCAGGGGCCAAGACTGACTGGATGACAGCCCAAGGCTCCCTGTGTGGGTGATAAAGTGGCAGCAAGGATAAGTGGGACGGGGGGCCCTCTTGCAGCACCACCCACCACCAGGCCTGGCCCTGAGTCTGCTCACCTGGTTCCCAAGTACCCTCCCACTTGCTTCTGACTCCCATGTGCAAGAGTGTGTGGGTGCATGTGTGTACTGCATGTTCACTAGGAACCTCCTGAGTCTCCTCCAACCTGCTCTCCAGCCAGACAGGCCTCGGGCCCAGTTTACCTCCATCCCGTCAGCCATAGTGGGAAAGCACCCTCCCACCCTGCCTGCCTTTGGCTCTTCTCTACCAACCCCTAGCTGAGCCCAGGGTCTGGTCTCCCAACATGAACCCAGGGTGGCATAGATTGAAAAGACACTCTGCCTGGTATAGTGATGCAGGAGGCTGAGGCAGGAGGATCACGATTTTGAGGGTAGCCTGGGCAACTTAGCAAGAGCCTGTCTCAAAACAAAACAAAAAGGTCTGGGGGTGGAGCTCAGCGGCAGAGCACTTGCCTAGACTGTGTGAGGCCCTGGGTTCCATCACCAGGACTGGGAAAAAACAACACTGTTTAGAGCCCCCGTCTCCTGCCTTGTATCCTGGGGCAAGCAGCTGCCTTCTCTGGTTTTCTCTGCCCTTTTCCAGATGTGAAGGCCTGGGCCTGGGGGACAGGTGGCCCCTGGGAAAGGGTTCAACCTGCTGCCTTGAAGGTGCATCTCTCCCTTCAGTGTCTCTAGTGTGAGGAGTGGGAGCAGGCAGGAGGTTGGGGGGTGTCACTTGGGGAGCCCCTTCACTTCCTTGCTTTTTTCGTCCCTGCCTGGTACCCACCTGGTAGCATGTGGCCTGGGCACAGGCCTACATCTGTCCACTGCCTCTCTAGCAGGCTTCTTTGCTGCAGGACACAGAACAGGGAGGTTTACCTTTTGGCTTCCTCCTCAGGGCCTCCTGGCTGGGAGCCCAGAGGCAGCGGGTGCTGGGGCAGGGTGTGGTGGCCGCAAGGTGGGGGCAGGGATCCCAGGCAGCAGGAGGGCATCAGGCCCCACTCTGCTCTGAGTCAGTTTTTATGAACTCCAGAGAGAAGCCAAGTTTCCTTAGCCTCCTAATGAAACCAGCTAGAGCAGCTGATTGGAAACAGACCGGAGAGGGAGGGCCCGTCAGGAGAGGAGGCCTGTGCCGGGGGGACTGTGTGTGCAAGGGCACACGTGCAAGGGCCATGGGGCTGAGCACGTGAAGGCAGCCTGTGCTGGGGGTGGGAGCATCCCACGTTGCACTCAGGAGGTGTGAGTGTGTATGTCCAGTGCCTTTCCGGCACCAGCATGGGGCAGGTCTTTATCTAGAGCCTGGTAGCTATCTGCCCACATAGTCCCTCACCCAGGCTTCCCACAGGGCCTGTACCCCAGGAAAGCCAGTTGTTTAGCTTCAGCATAGAATGTCAGAGGGTGCCAAAAACACAGTCATCAAGATAGGTAATATTTTAATGCATTTTTAAAAAAAAAAAAAAAACTATTACAAGAAGACATATGATAAACTGGCTAGGGTGGCACTTAACCTGTAATCCCAGCTACATGGTGGGTGGAGATGGGAGGATTGCAAATTTGAGGCCAGCCTCAGCAATTTAGTGTAATCCTGTCTCAAACTAAAATAAAAAGGGCTGGGGTTGTAGCTCAGTGTTAGAGTGCTTGCCTAGCATGTGTGAAGCCCTGGGTTCAATCCTCAGCACTGAAGGGAAAAAGAAAAAAAAAAAAAAAAGCATACGATAAGCAAATAACAAGCTAAACAATTTTATACAGAGACAGGATCTCTGTCTGAGCAGGACCCTACTTCACCTGTCTCCTCGTTGTAATACCCAGCCTAGTTCCAATCACATTTCTAATTTTTTAAAAGTTTTAATTTCTTTTTTTTTCTTTTTTTCTTCAGTACTGGAAATTGAACCCGGGGTTTGAAGTGTACTGAGCCAAGACCCCAGCCTACCTTTTGCCTATAAAAACAAGTGGCTGGCCCTCAGGCCCGAGCCTACTAATTTGATTATTATCTGGGTATTTGGGGGGGTTTTCTGGTTTTATTTTGTGGTGCTGGGGATCAAATCCAGGGCCTCACACATGCTTATCTTTAGTTTTAGGACACATTAAATTTCACTGACCTGGATGACAGCTCTTTTGGTGCCTGTCAAGTAGCTGTCCTGCCTCGCCCTCCTCCCTCCCCATTCTCCCTCTTCCTTAACCTCCTCAGCCCTGGGATCACCAGCTCCCCTCTGCCATGCCCCCAATGCTGCCTCCTCAGCCCTGATGCCTTTTCCTTCTCCTTGCCCATGTGTACGCAGGGAGCCCCCGGGCCACAGCGTCAGCCCTGCACTTCCCCTCCACGTCCATCATCCAGCAGTCGAGCCCATACTTCACACACCCGACCATCCGCTACCACCACCACCATGGGCAGGACTCGCTGAAGGAGTTTGTGCAGTTTGTGTGCTCGGATGGTTCAGGCCAGGCCACAGGACAGGTGAGTCCAGAGGGCCCCAGGAGCCCTGCGGCAGCCTCATCTCTGCACCTCTGTCTGTCTGTCTGTCTCAGGGCTTACAAGGAGAGGGCCCACTTGGGGCTGGAGCAACAGGGAGGCAGTCTTACACACACCTTGATTTTTCTGGGTCTGGGGTTGAGTGTCCAAGCGTTATGTCAGGGCCTATCCATCAAGGTCTGGAAAGGTGGAGGGCATCAACATCTGGGCCCATCCTGCCTGGGCTCCTCGCCCTCCCTGTGGGCCTTATTTCCTCAGCAGAGGTGAACCTGTGATCTCTCCATCCAGGGCTTGAGCCCCCCACCTCCCAGGGCCCCTCTTACACCTCAGAGACGCAAAGATTTGACAAGGTTCCAGGCAAGAGTTTGGCATGGCTGTTGACATTTGCCGCTGTTTGTTATCTGTGGTGTGAGGCTGCCCTGGGCATTGTAGGATACTGAGTAGCATCCCTTGCCTCTACCTGCCAGATGCCAGGAGTTCCTTTCTGCTCCCCAATTGTGTCAATCCAAAATGTCTCCGGATTTCAGTGAGCTGTGTGGGCAGCAAGGCCGTGCCCAGATGAGCACCTCTGTGTGAAGGGAGGCCCCAGTCCATGGAGCTGCTATGGATTCTCCTGTCAGCAGGACTCTTAAGGGGTTCCCAGGACCATTCTGGTTTTATGGTGAAGCTCTTCTCAGCCCTGGGGACAGAGGAGATCCCCAAGAGCCTCAGGGCCCGATTATGCAGGAGCAGAAAAAAGGGGACAGCTCAGCAAAGGGATTATCCTAGGTGGTGGGCCAGAGATGACCCCAGGTGGGACGCTCAGTTCCTTGGGGGTCACTCTGGGTTGGGACACATTGTCTCTAGACCTCTGGGAAGGTTCTGTAGCTCAGGCAGCAGGCTGTGCTGTGAACAGCCCCAGCCCTCTCAGCTGGCTGTGGCAGCCTGGATTCCTGCTGTGAGAGGTGTGTGTCACATTGGTGTCGGGGAAGCTCCAGGGCTATGGCCAGAGGCAGCCCAGCGAGAGTGGCCAGTGTCCTCCATTCGGCTGGTGCTGTCTTGGTGCACTCTGCGTAGAGTGGGCATTTGCTGTGCGCTGGTATGTGATTAGAGATGGGCCTCCTGGAGCCGCGGCCTCCGGGCTCTCCGTCCATCTCTTCCCTCCCTCTTGCTTTCCTTTCTCTTTCCTCCTTATCTCCTTTCCCCCTTTGCCCTGTGAGGGCTTCCCTGGCTGACTACAGCTCCTCAGGACACTGGTAGCCTTGCCCTCCTCTCGGGACAAGCGTTGTTCTGCTTTCAGGGGCGTAGAAGAATAGACCTGACCTTTGGCAACTGCTGTACTTCCTTCTGAGATGTGGCAGTGTTGACAGGGAGCCACTAGCCTGTGCCCTGATTCCCAAAAGGCCTGATGTCAGGAACGCAGAACTGAGAGGCCAGGAATGCTGCCTTGCTTGCCTTTTCACCTAGGCAGCCAGGGCTTGGAGTAAAAATGGAGTGGACCTAGAGACTGAGCGCTGGGTCTTGAACTTCTCACTTGACTTTTCAAGATTGAGATCTCACTTTGCTTAAGAAGGTTTTCTTCTTTTGCTTCAGAGAAAACCTGCAGGCAGGTTTGTGAACAGGCACCCTGATGAAGCAGAGTATAGCCAGGCTGGGGAGCAGCCTCTCTGGGTTTCCTCTTGTAGTCTGTCATCTGAAGAGAGAGGAGGGGGATCTGCGGGGAGCCTGCTCCAGAGGGCCATTCCCAGGTTCAGAGAGGAGATGAGAGCCAAGAGTCGCCAGCATGCTATGGAAGAGTCTGATGTAGCTGCAGAGAGCCAAAGGCCAGCTGAACTTGCTGTAGTTCTCAGACTTAGTGTGCACAAGAGGAGTTCACAGGCCCTCAGCCCCAGAGCTTCTGTTTCAGTGGGGTTGGGGGAGGGCCTACGAAGCTGCATTTTCCCCCAAGTTCCCAGGTAATGCTGGTGTTGCTGGCCAGGAGATCCACTTTGAAATCAGTGATCTAGAGCCTAGAGAAGAAACTTTCTAACCTCCTCAAGAATCTGAAGTTATTGACCAACTTTGCAGAAAATACATGGAAAAATTTTATAAACAATTGCAGGAGGGTTCCCAGGCACCCTGATAGCTTGTCCTTGGACCCCAGGGTAAGGCATGCACTGATTTCATTAAAAAAAAATTTTTTTTGAGGGGACTGAGGACTGAACCCAAGGATGTTCTATTACTGAGCTATATCTGCAGCCTTTTTTATTTATTTTTTTGAGACAGGTTCTTGCTAAGTTGCCCAGCCTGGCCTCAAACTTGCAATCCTCCTGCCCCCGGCTTCCAAGTAGCTAGAATCACAGGCATGTGGTACCACACCTTGGCCACACACTGGTTTCAAAGAACCAAATCAATAGTAGGCAAGGGCAAGTGGAGACACCACTAGGAGAAGGACAGAAAGAAGATGCTTGAGGAGTTGTGTTTTGGGGAGGGAGAAGAGGTGGTCAAGTGAATGGGAAAGTCATAGACCCACTGGGAAGGCATAATTCTGAGAGGCAGGAAGACTGGCTGTGGCTCAGCCTTGTTTGCCCACGTTGGGATGGCCAGGCCCGCATCTTTAACTGTAAGACCAAAGTGAGGAGCCATACCAGCTCTCAGGTGAGGTTGTGACTCTGTGAGGTACCGCAGAGTCACAGGAACTTGAGATATATAAAACCTTGATTTACACTCCAGCCGCAGCTAACCTCCCAGCCTGGTTGAAAGTTACTTCTAGAAACAGAATGTTGTACATCACAAACTGTAATGCCTTATCAGACTGAGCCAGGACTAGCCCTATCGGATAGAATTAGTGGTTTAATTTACTTTTTTATTTTTTGGTACTGGGGATTGAACCCAGATGCTTCACCACTGAGCTACATCCCCAGCCTTTTTATTTTTTTATTTTGAGACAGCATCTCGCTAAGTTGTTTAGGGCCTCTCTGATTTGCTGAGACTTCCCTTGAATTTATGGTCCTCCTGCCTCAGCCTCCAGAGTCTCTGGGATCACAGGCATGCTCCACTGTAGCCAGTGAGATTAGCAGCTTAGATACTCCTAGGGGAGACAGGCTCTGAAGGCAGGAAGGAGGCAGAGGCCACCCTAGGGCAACAAGTGCTGCCTGGAAAGCTTGTGTCTCAGCTCCTGGGAGCATGAGTTCAGGATGCCCAGAGAGAAGGAGTGAGGAGGATTCAGGACTATTCTATTTTTTGTCTTGATGGAAGAATGAGATAGGAACCAGGTTGGCCATGGAAATGAGGAGAGGCAGTACTATTTGGATCTGGGTGTCACCCCTGCAGAACTGGAAATCCCTGCCCTTTCCAAAAAGACACCTAGCACAAAGGGTCTCCAGCCTGACACAGATAGGGACCAGAAGCCACTGCATGCTTTGTCCAAGGCCTCTGAGAATTGTCACCCTCAGAGAAGCAAGAATAGTTGAGGGAACAATTTAGAGGAATAATATGTCAGACTTAAGTGCTGGTCATTAGGGATAGAGGACAAAGGGCTAAAAGCTAAAGTTGAGCGGAGTGAGGCCTGCACAGGTCAGCTGTGAGTTCTGTGATTTTAAACTGCAGCAGGACAGCAGGCAACCTCTCTTGTTCAGTGGGACTCAGTATTGCCCATTTCTGCCATCTCCAGGCACCACTCGGAGGTCCAGGGTGTCCTGGAAGAACAGGACAGAGAGCAAGGAATGTGATTCAGAAATCTAGCTGGTCCCGCCGAGAGGAAGTGTTCTCTGAGCAGGACTTGAAGTAAAGTGCCTGGTCTAGGCCTGAGCACCAGAGGCACAGAGCTGACGGACACACTGTGGCAGAGGGGCACCCCTGGAGTGTCACTATCACTGTCTTGGTGAAATGAATGAGGACAGAATGACGGGCTGACTGCAAGCACTGGGTGGGTGGACTTCACAGAGTTTGTCCACTGATAGGAGGAGGAGCACAGGGACCCCCCACGGGTCTCATAGCTGGGTGGTCAGAAGGGCAGAGCTTTGCCCCATAGGGTAGGACAAAGAGCTGGGGCTGGGCCTCCCCATGTCTGGGCTGTAGGTGGGCACTGAGGGTGCTGCCCAGAGTAGCAGGAGGCTCCAGGAAAGAGGCAAGGGAGCCTTTGGCAACTCCCTTCTCTGAAGCCAGAAGGCTGACCCACGAAAGGCCAGGCACAGGGCCTGGAGGAGGAAACTCAAGTTTGAGGCCAAAGAGGGCATAAAGGACAAGGAGTGGAACCTGGTGGCCTGACCTCCCTGGCTCCTGAGGGCGTCGTCCAGGGAAGCACTCTTGAAGAACCTCACGGAAACTGGAGCTGGCAGCAGCGCGTTTTCCTCCCTGGCTGTTCTTTAGAGAAAAGGCCAGCACCCCACTGTCCACAGGCGCTGAGGACACTGGCTGCCGGGGCCCAGAGTGAGCTCCTCCCTGCCGGCGTCCTCCTGAGGCTGTGCCAAGAATGGATGCTGGACGGGCCTGCAGTCCTTGGCTGGTCAGCCCGCCCGGCCGGGCCCTGGAGGGAGGCCCGCATGTGCCTTTGGGGGATGGTGGGGGTGAGCTGGCTCGTCTTTCCTGCCGTGGGAGAAGGTCTTCAGGAGTGTGAGAACGCTGAGTACAGTTGCACGCATTGCTAGGTGGCACTTTTTTTTTGTACCTAAAACATTTTCCTTAAGAAATAACAAATCACCTGTCGGACGACCCCCTTCCTTTCTCCCACAACTTCAAAAGAGGACTGAAAAAAAAAAGAGAGAGAGAGAGAAACACCCGAGAGACCAAATAGAGGCCTTACACCCTTACCCATCCTGTGCCCCGGATGAGAGGACCTTCCCAATCCTGCATCTTCCACCGGGAGCGCCGGCTCTCCGGAGCGAGCTGGTGCGGCCGCGCAGGGGAGCGTGTGTCTGTGTGTGATGTGCCTTCATGCGTCACTCTATTTATGTTGTTCGCAGCCCAACGGTAGCGGCCAGGGCAAAGTCCCGGGGTCATTTTTGCTACCGCCGCCGCCTCCAGTGGCCAGACCTGTGCCCCTTCCTATGCCTGATTCCAAATCCACCAGCACTGCCCCAGACGGCGCCGCCTTGACTCCTCCATCACCTTGTAAGTGGACGATGAAACTGAAACCACAACGCCCAGCGTCCCCAGCCCATCCAAACAGTCTGCACTGCAAAAGAGAACAGCCCCACACCCATGCCAAAGCCCCCAGCCCAGAGCGCCACGGAGCCACCTGCCCGGACAAGAGCAGAGCCAAGCCCCCATCCACAGCCTCCTGGGCCTCTGCTGCGCCAGCCAGCACCCCATGAGCCCCCTGCCTGCTGCTCCCAGCTGGGGCCCCTGGCCCAGGCCCCCCTGGGGGGGCGGGAGGGACAGCACAGTGGGGTGCCAGGCCAGGGGTGCTGGCGCGGGTGGGAGGGGGCGGGGAGGCACAGCCATGCCATCTTCATGCCTGATTGCTGTTTTTTTGTTTTTTGTTTTTTTGTTTTTGTTTTTTAATTTTTTGTTGTTTCGTTGTTCCTACACACACACCAAGAAAATTAAATGTGACCACAAGGCGACGCCACCACCATCCCCTTTTTGCCTTACCTCCCTTACCTCCCTTCCTGGCTCTTGGGCCTCTAAAGATGCAGGAGGCCAGCCCCTGACCCCCACCCTCAGTCTCACATTTGGTTTCTCGTTGTTCCTCTTTTTTTTTTCCTCCTCCTCCCATCCTTTCCCCTTCCTTCCCCTCAATCCCTTAATTCCTTTCCTAGGTTGATGTTCCAAGGACAAGGGAGGGCTCTGGGCCTCTGCTACTTCATCTCTCTCTCTTTCTTCCCCCCCCCCCCTTTTTTTCTCTTTTCTTTAAAACTGGTGACAAATTTTATCAAAAGGAAGAAAAGAAAAAATCTGAGTCAAGAGGCCCCAGGTAGACCCGACGTGAAGGACAGGAAAGATGGAGGGTGGGCTGTGCGCTGTCTGTGGGCAGGGTGGCCGAGGGTGGGCAGGGCCCTGTGGCTCGCAGGCCATAGGCCAGGGTGCTGCAGTGGTGGCCAGGTGGCCCATCTCACTGCTGTCTGTTGGCCCTGTTTCTCCTCCTTTCTCTCGGTTTGAGTTCTTCCCCCCATCCTTCTCATGCCATCTTCTCATCTGCATCTACCATAAGACACGAAGTCATGACCATGGCCATCTGAAGTGGGCAGGGTTGGAGAAGGGAGTTCAGGCCGCAGGTTGGGGGGCACTTCTGAAGAGAGGTGGACAGAACCTGGTGAGCATGGGGTCCCTGAGTATAACTGGTGTAGGGCAGGGGATGGGCAACCGGTGACACTCTTTTTCCCCTCTGGGGACATCTTCCCTCCTGGGAGTGCAAGGCCTGTTCCCTCCTGTCGGGCTCTAGCCAGATAACCCAAGAAGAACTCAGGGGTGTTCCGTTCATTTGCCACCTTGGGCTGCAGGACAGCTGTCCCTAGGTGACTGAGCTTTGGGGCTCTGCCAGGCACTCTGGCCTCCTCTTCCTCTGTAGCCTTGGCCCATTTCAGGCTTTGGGACCGTGAACCCTTTGGGCCAGGTGCATTGATCAGAGAAGAAAGGCACAGGCTTTGCGGCCCCAGGCCGAAGCTGAGAGGTCAGCTCCTACGTCCTTCTCTGACCCCATCCTTCCTGGCTCAGTCCTTTGTTGGGTCCCCTTGGAGTTCCCCACATCACCTACCCACTCCTTAGGACTGCCCAGGGTGCACTTGACATGGCCTGAAAGGTGGCCTGAGAACACTTTCCCCACGCAGGGTGAAGGCAGGCCACCAAAGCTGCCACCCTTCTTTGGACCCTCTCTTCAAGTAGGAAAGCCAGGATACCCACTGAGGGCACATTAAGGACCAGGTTGTCCCCAACCCTGTCCAGTATCTCAGTAGGGGACAGAACTGGGTCCAAGAGACCTCAGCTACAGCCTCCAGGGCTCCTTCCTTCCCCTGGGCCCTGAAAGAGGCTGCCTGATTGAGGCTGCCAGGGCTGGGGGAGGGTGGGGTGTGTGCTTCTGGTCGGGGAGAGGACGAGGGGCCCCTCGTGTGGAGGAGGGGCAGGCTTGGAGCCTGGTCTTTAGCACAGGAGCCCTTGGCCCAGCCTGAATTTGGCAGCACAGCACAGTCTAACCCAGTCTCTCCCTCTCAGCAGTCCCGAAGGGCAGTACCCAGGTGGCCCAAGGCCTGACGGGGTCTCTCCCTCTCTCCCTGCTCCCACAGCATTCGCAGCGACAGGCGCCTCCTCTGCCAACCGGTTTGTCAGCATCGGACCCCGGGACGGCAACTTTCTGAACATCCCACAGCAGTCTCAGGTAGGAGACCACCTGTAAGCAGGCGCAGATGGACAGACAAGGTTGGGGACACCTTGATGTGAGGGAAGAGGCTGGGGTCTTTACAGCTAATCAGGGAGCAGGCGGAGCTTCAGGACCCAGACTTTTGCATGCCCAGCTGAGCCTGCCTCCCCAGGCAGCCCCCAGGCTCCCTGGCTAATCAGCTAATTGGATAATTAGCTCTGACAGCCCTGGCCCTGGGGAAGGCGGCCAAGGACCCAAGGCTCCAGGCGCTTTGGGCCAGGCCTGGTGGAAGCAAAGATGGAAGCCCGAGGCACCCTGTCAGGAACGGGGAAGGCGTCTGCTTCACTGCCCTCCCACTGCCCTCCCACTGCCCCTCCCTCCCAACACTGGCTGGAAGTCCTGCCCCAAGCACCCTCCACCCCGCCCTCCCCTTTTCCCTGGCTTTGGGTGGGCTGGGCAATGGTGGAGGAGGGACAGAGTGGGCCTGGTGGGCTGAGTGCCCAGAGACTCTGGCACCAAGGGCAGGGCAGGACTGGCTGCTGCCCTGGAAGCCCCTCCCCCAAGTCCCAATGGGTCCTGTTAGGGGTAGCCAGACTGCGGGAGCCCCCAGTCCCCACTCCCCTCTTCTGCTGACACCATCCCTACTTCTCTTAAAGGGATAAGCCCATCCTCAGCCCCTCTAGCTGGAAGCCCCTGGACTTGGCCTTGCACATACATGTGGGTGTCCCCTGTGTACCTGTCCCCAAAGAGGTTGAGAATAGTCAGCAGAACCCAGGGCCCTGGGAGCTAGGAAGGACCCACCTCAGGAGCAGGGCACACCAGCTGTTGAGGGCCCATGGCTTTCACAGGGCAGGGTTTCAGAAAAGAGTGTGTAAAGTCTTCTTTTTGCACATTTTACAAGAACATCTCCTTGTGGACTTTCTTGGCCCTGGGAAACCCACTTTTGCCCAGAGCCCCAGAGCTACCTCTGTTGGTTCCTTTTCCGCCTCTGCTCTGAGGCCCCCATCCAGAGAAAGTTAGTGGATGGAAGTTTTGTGTGTGTGGCTTGAAGGCTTTCTTTCTTTCTTTCTTTTCCTTTCCTTCCAAAAAAAAAAAAAAAAAAAAGCCAAAAAACTTTGTCAAACTTCAAACTTCAGAGCTCTCTAGTGGCAAGGAGGGGAGGGGAAGGGAACTTCAACCCCCTCCAGCTTCCCACCCCCTTTCCCCAGAGTCACGTCTGACCCGTCTGGTTTCCAGGAGCAACCAGACATGATGTAACACCCAGATGAACTTGAACTTGGGGGTGTTGAGAAGAAAAACAATGGCTCCGAGCAGGGGCTGGAGCCAGCCCCCTCTGCTCTGTGCCAGGGAGGCCGAGAAAGCCCTGCTGGCAGAGGGCGGGAGGGGGTGCCAGAGGAAGGGACAGCAGGCGGGCCTCCCCTCTGGGCTCTGGGCTGGCACCAAGGGCAGGGCTCACTTACTCCCTCCCTCTTGCCGTACCCCTGGCCGCCTGCAGCTCTGCAGTGCTCGTGCTTGACCACTGCCAGAGCCCTCCCTGTTCAGTCAACCCCTCTCGCCTCCTTCTTCACTTTCTCTGCTGTCTTTGCTTGGACGTTTTGGGGCCAAGGCAGAGTTTGAGGCAAGTCTGGTAAATAACTTCTCTTCTCCCATGTTCCCATCTTGGGCTCTGGGCATTCGGGGAAGGAATTCTCTGCCGGGGTCTAGGGCGCCTGAGCAGGCAGGTGTGTCGAGGGGGCAGTGGGGAAGCCAGAGCAGGACATGCTGCTGAGCAGGAGTCCCCGGGGCCTGGGGCAGGCGGGCGGCTGCAGTGGGCACAGGGGGTACAGTCAGAAGTGGTTTCCACAGTAACGAGTGACTTTTGCTGATCCCTGGAGCACCAGATGGAGAGAGAACAATAGAATGAGGGAAGAAAAGAGAATTTTAGCAATTTTGTCATTCCCTGGGCAGCGCTTTTTACTTAGTTTTAATCAGTTTTGGACTTGGCTCAGGAAGCAGGGAGGGTGAGCAGAAAAGCCACTCCGTGCTTGGCAGCAGATCTTCTGTTCTCGGGACCTGTGGGGAGGTGCCAGGGAGCTCCCTTGGAACTGCCTTTGTCCCCAGCTCCAGGACTGGAATCCGAGTCTTCCTCTTCTGAGGAGGGCCCCCAACCTGAGATTTGGTTGTTGAGCCCCCTGCTGTGAAGCTCATGAAACCCCAAAGGGGCCAGCTTGGGGCCTTGGAATGATCTGCTAACAGACAGGGCAGCTAGAGCCCTCCCTGTCCATGTTGAAGGAGAGATGGCTCTGGAGCTGGCTGCCCCCAACTTGGGTACAAGAGTCCTGCATATCATTCCTTATGAAGAGGGGTCCCATAGACTGCCAGGGCGAAGGGCGCGGGATGGGAAGCCCAGGAGCTAGCTGCTGCCCTGGCTGTCTTCTGCTCACTCTGGGGTGCTTCAGACCTGGGTTTCTGCCTCATCTTCATCAGACCCCCTGAGCCTCTGCTTGGTTTTTACTCATTTGACAGGTCAGACTTGGGGCAGGTGCTCGGGGAATGCACAGAAAGAGGACAGGTCTCCTATGTGCATATCTTCCTGTATGTGGCAGGCGGTTCACCTCTGCCAGCCAGCAGTGCCTGGTCACTGTGGTGATCCCAGATCCCACATTTATAGATACCACAGATACCCATCCACTGTGGTGGCCACTGGCCACTTGTGGCTGTGAACATTTAAATGAATTAACTAAAGAATATATAGTCACAGAATCCATATTGCATGTGCTGAGAAACCATTTGTGCTACTGCATTGGACAGCACAGATAGAATTTCTGTTGTCACAAAAACTTCCAGAGAATCTCTGAACCCTATCCCCCACGGCTTTTGTTTTTCTTAAGAGGGATCTTACTATGTTGCCCCGGTTGGTCTCCAACTCCTGGACTAAAGTGATCCTCTGCCTCAGCCTCCTGAGTATTGGACTACAGGCATGTGCCAGTGCACCTGGCTTCTCTGAATCCCTTTCTAATTCTCACACTCAGTGTCCCATCTCACAGTGAATAACATCATGTGGTCCCAACCAGAACTTGAGTCGTGGATCTGGCCTGTAGACCATAAGCTAACCAATATTGGAATAATAAAGTAAATATTGGAAAATTTCACATGAAATTCTGTTGCACTTCTAGCTTCTTTTGAAAAGTTGGTGGCTCCAGTCACCAGGGCTCTTACTCCAGTGTGGAAGGCCAGGCTCTAGACAGGGTGCAGGCATTCTGGCCACCACAGACCCTGCCTCCTCATGATCACCACACTGGTAGCAGTTAGGAGCATGAATTCTTCACTGCCCCCTGCATTTCAGTCCTAGCTGTGTCACCCTAAGGCTGTGTGGCCTCAGGCAGGGCACCTACCCTTTCTATGTCTGGCTTCTGTGAGGGGCTGGGTAAGGATAGGATGAACACATCTGGCATGTGTTCTGGTAGTTAGCTCTGTCTGATCCCCACAGACCAGCAACTGTGACCCAGTCTTGGAGACCCCCATTTTGTAGATACAGTCAGGTGTACCCAGCCTCCTGACCCAACCCTTGGCCTTGGGTCTGGACTGGAGCCTTTGATGGAGAGCAAATTGCAAGCTGCCCTGCCTCTGGGGTCTACCCAGGGTGTGCTGGGTGCAGAGCTGCTAGACAACGCCCTGTATGTGGGAAGGCGGTGCCCCCTGCTGGCTTCATGAAGGAAGGACGCCCACCCCAGGGAGCCTGGGGTCCTTCCCCAGACTCTAGTGCCCTAAGGGTAAAGGATCTGCAGGGTGGGCTATGGCCCCTCCCCCAGGTCTGGCACTGCTGGGGACTGAAGCCATGTGGTTCCCCCGCCCCCAGCCTTTCAGCCTGTGGGACTTTGGCTGGGATGTTCAGACGGGAATTTCTGCTTTTAATCCAAAGAGACAGAAAGAAAACTCAGCAAGAAGCTGGGCCACCCCCACCCCACTCCTCAAACCCCTCTGGGCACAAAAGCTCAAGCCTGGCATCCTCCCCACCCTCCAGGACCCACACAAAAACCTAAACAATTGCAAACATGGCCAGATCCCAGGTTTGTGCCAGCGCCAGCCACGGGGGTCCCACCCGCTGGGCACTGTGCCCACGGGAAGGCCAGCTGGACTCTAGCACTGGGGTGCAGGGTCTGGGGGATTCCCATGAAGGGGAGCTGCACTTCCTCCCCAGTGGTGGGTCGATTGCCCAGCACCCTGGCTCTTTATGAGCTGGACTTTGAGCTGGATCCTCAAGGAATCAGCAGTCACAGTGCCAGGGACCCTGCCCCAACTGTTCTCAATATTGCCTTTTTTTTTTTTTTTTTCCGGCTTCCTTTCAGTCCTGGTTCCTCTGATAAGATCGGCAAAGAAACAACAAAATGAAAAGAAGAGGTTCCTCAAAAGGGGGGAGAAGAAATTTTGAGACATGGAAAAATCCCCCAGCCCAGCCCAGCCCCACCGAAAAGCAAAAATTAGATGTCGTCAGCCACTCAGCCCTTCTCTCCTCCAGCCCGGGGACCCCTGCAGGCCCCCGAAGCAGCCCAGTTCTCAGAGAGCCCTTGGAAGGGGTCTCAACGGAGCTGTGCACCAGCAGCCAAGCAGAAAGAAACATGCAAAACGGACTCTGCCAGGCAGAGGACAGACAGAAAGAAAGGATGCGGCAGGACTGCCTTCTCCCCACCCCAGCCCGGCCTTCTGGGGAAGGAGCAAAATTCCCAAACAGAGCAACCAGCACAGTTCTGAAGGGGCCTGGCCCCCACCCTTGCCCTTTCTAGGGAACCCCACTCTCCACTCCAGCCTGAGCTTTCCTGGGGAGCCTGGAGGACCAGCTTGTGAAGATAATGGGGTGTAGGTTGGCGAGCTCTCCCTTCTATACTTGGCCCCCTCCTTCTCTCCCTTCTTGCCTGGGTTCTGGCTTCTACTCCTAGCTGCTCCAGACCAGGTGAGAGAGGCCCTCGGGTGGACAGGGGGTACCCCCTGGAGCTACCTGCTGCATCAGCCCAGAATGGAAGGTGTTCTGCCATTCCACCCTGAGCTGTAGGGGCAGTTCCTGAGGCCCCAAACCCCTTTGTACAGTCCACAGGAAAAAGATGGAATGCTCTAACTGATCCTGCCCCAGCTTGGGACAGGCCTCCTATTCCCTCTCTCTGAAGACCAGGAGGGCTGTCCCCTATTCCCGCCAGGAGTGAAGGGAGGGAGTCGGGCTCCAGGTCGCCCCTGCGCCCCAGCCCTGCATGCAGGTGCCCTCGCTCCGCCCCACTGGTCCCTGCCCCTGCCCCTCATGCTTACAGCACTACTGGGGCCAGCCCGAGATGGAGCAGAAAGGGGACCCCTGGAGCCAATCGAGGAGGATGAAGCAGCTTCTGCTGCGCCGGTTAAGCTGCCACCTGCGCTTAGGTAGGCGTCCTGCTCACCGACTTTCAGTTCCTTTGGAGGGTGTTGGGTGTTGTCCTTTACAAAAGTGTTTTGGAGCTTTCTGTCCCCCACCTTTCCCACCACACCCACCCCCCCATGGCCACTTCTCTCTGGATTTTAGCTGTAATGTCTTTACTCTTTATTTAGGGGTGGGGCAGTCATTGTTTGGGTCTTTGCTGTTGCAATTGGGAACTCCTCCTCTATTTGAGCAACTTGGGAACAATTTGGTAACACACCACAGGAAGTAGCTCCCCCCAAGTCCCCTCCTTCCCCAAAGGATGGTGGGGGCCTGTCCAGAGGTTCTTTAGAAGTCCCCCTGGGAGGGAGGGGAGCATGAGCACGCCCAGCCCCCTCCAGGGTGTGACTTGGCCCCTCTGGCTTGTCTTTCTGTGCCTTACTCCCTCCTTCCTGCGTCTCCTCTCCCTGACCCCCTTTTCAAGTCCTTGTGCCTCTCTTTCTCTCTTTCTTAACGGTATGAAAACACAAAGCACAGGTCAGGATCCTCTGAAAGTCAATCAATCCAACATTGCACCAGTAGGGGTGGGTTATGGGCTTTATTTATTGAGAATCTAGTTTGTGAGGCTGTAGCCCTGAGCTGGCGGAAGGAGGGAAGGAGCCGTCCGGGGAGGAAGGAGGGCCATTACCTGGGGTTGCGCGGCTGGCAGGTGGTGCCTGCTCCCCAGGGCGAAGCCGCTAGGTGGCTGGCCCCAGGGGCGGCTTCTGTTGGAAACTGAGCGAAGCCCTCCCCCGCTCTCCTCGGCGTTCCACGCTGAGAGGACCCCAGGGCTGAGGGGCAGGAGATCCCGTGGGAGACTCCCGGGGCGTGAGGAGCAAGGCCCCGGGGTGGGGGGCCGGGCGGGCCGGGCGTGACGCGCGGTCAAAGTGCAATGATTTTTCAGTTCGGTTGGCTAAACAGGGTCAGAGCTAAGAGGAGCGGAAGGAGGGTGGTCCCTGCCCGGCCGCGTGCGCCCTTTCCGTCGAAGACAATCGGGCCGCAGTGTGCTGTGACACTGTGGGAGCCGGGGTCTGCGGGGCACCCGCCCGGGCGAGGTCGAAAGCTGCAGGCCAGCTGGGCCCGGCGGGGTCGTTTGGGCGGGCAAGGTGCGCTCCTTTCCCAAGTAGTGGTGTGAGGGGCAGGCGAAGGGCAATGAGGGCGACAGATGTGGGGACGTGTCAGGAGAGGGAAAAAAACCCACAAAAATATATATATGGGGGAAATGAACTTTTTTTTTTCATTGAACCAAGTGCAATGCATCAGAGAGTTTTCCTATCTTTGTATGTTAAGAGATTGTTAAGAAAAAAAAATTCTATTTTTGTTGTAATGTCCTCGCGGCTCTGGGGACGCTAAAAGAACTAGGCCTGCCCCGCCCTGCGCGGGGATGACGAAAGCTGAGTGTTTTTTCCTTTCCTTTTTTTTCTTTTTCTTTCTTTTTTTTTTTTAAGTCATTTTCCTGCGTTGACGAGGATGATCTGGGGTTTTTATTTGTTTTGTTGTTCGTTCTCGGTTTCGGTGGGAGGGCTGAAGGAAACGTACACATTTTGAAGTTAAAAAAAAAAACACCTCGACATGAAAAATCAAAACAAAACACAATATCAAAAAGGAAAAAAGGACGAGAGAAATTATTTTAAGATAATTAAACATAAAAACCCTGGTGCTTCTTACATTATAAAGTACGTTTAAAAACCCACAAACTATTATACATAAGTTTATGAATCAATTAAATATCCTGCACTTGTTAGGAACACGCATATCCCTTCTTTGTTGAGTTTAACGGAACGGGACAGCGGCGTGCGCCCGGCGGCTGGGCTGCTCTTGCCGCGGATCTCCCCGGGCGTCCCCTCCCTGGGCACTGCGCCCCCTCCTCGCACCATCGCCGTCTGGGCACAGGGGCGCGCAGGGGGTCCCAAGCCCCTCCCCTGCAGAGGTCAATGCCAACGAACAAATGTTCCTTCCCTCCCTCCCTCTCCGCCCCGAGCGCCCTTCTTCGAGCCAGACGCCAACTTGACCCTCACCAGCATTATCAGGAGCGCGCTCAGCAAGTTGGTAGTTTCCTCCCCGAACCTCTTCCCCGGTGACCCCCACCATCACCACCACCACTACTCAACATCACTCCTCCTTCCCCGGCCCGCTCCGGGAAGCACCCGGAAGGCTCGATGCTCCAGGACAGGACCAGCCACGCTGACATGTTGATTTGCCCAGACCCGCGCTCGCACGCACGCACGCACACGGCCCCGCACATAGCCCCGCCCCATCCCGCAACCAGCCCTGTCGACTGCCTTACACACCCGCCCCCGCGCTGGCCGGCCGACCTAGTGCCTTGTTCTCACCCCCGTGCTGGCGGAGCGGACGCCGCGCTCTGGGTCCCAGAGGGGCCGGGTGGCTCAGACGACCCACCACTTCCCCACCCCGACCGTGCTGAACGGACCCCCCCACACACACACACGAGAGAAAATAAGGAGCAATAAAGTCACGAGAACTTTTGTCCCCCAATCGAGAGCCCGAGGGGCACCCCAGCCCCACCTCTGCTGCCCCCATCCCACCCACCCTTGGGGCGCCCCCTTCACCCCGCAAGCCAGCCTGGGCCAGCCCCGCTTCAGCCCCTCCCGGGAGATCCGTGCGCCCGACCAGCACCAGCATCGCGGACCGCAAAGGCCGCCCGTCCCGTCAAACAAGTTTCTTCTTAGGCTAAGAAACGCAGTATATACGAGTATCTCTATATATAGTACTAATGGATTTGGTGTGCTTCCCCCTTAGCGTCCCCCTCCCTCTGCTCCTCCTTCAGCCTGGTCTCCCCCTCTCTGCCCTCCACCCGCCCCCCGTCTCTGCACTGAGATACATAAGAAACAAGGGTAGTTTACTGTCTGTTTTGTTTTCTGGGTTTTCAGTGTCCTAGCGGAATGCAAGTAGGCAGCCAGCCCGTCTGTTCCCTCTCCGCCCCGCCCCGCCCCGCCCCCGTCACTGCGCTTCTGTTATACCATCTTTGCCTGACTCTCTCCGGCTTCTCCATTGAATGGCTAATGTGTATGTGAAATAAAGAAATAAAGAAAAACAAAAGCAAGAGCTCCAGAGCCTTCGCTAATGCGATCGTGCGGGACCGGGTCGAGTCTGTGGGCTAGGTGCCGGGTGTCTATGCTGCCTGGCTCTTCGGGCGCCAGGTGTGCCGCACACGCCATCCGAGAGTCAGTTCTTGAGTCTCCAGAAGGGGGCGCCGTGAGAAGGGGAAGACTCCTCCCTCCCCCACAGCGACCCCAGTACCCCCACAAGTGCAGAGGTGGAGCACCACTTGGGTCCGACGACCGCGCTTCCTGGGTAATCTACAGGGCGGAAAAAAGTCTGCGGGGCCCCTTGGGATGATGGTCACCCTTCCAGACCCCCAGGATCACTCCCCTATCGGGGACGTCGTGTCTAAGTCCCTCTTTGACAGTTCGCTCGGGAGCCGGCGAAGCGAGACCTTTCCTCCACTGTCCCGGTCTGAGTCTTCGGTGGCACCCACGGCTCAGAGGCGCCGCTGTATGGGGGTCACCGCACCTCGGGACTCACAGCCGCTTGCTCCATTTTGATGGGCCGTACTGCCCCATTGGGGTTGATGTCGGAGTCTGCCAGGGGCGCGGGCTGCGAGCGCACCGCCACCTCGGCCTTGCGCCCGGACCCCGGGAGGGCGCCATCGTCTGGGCTCCGGCGAGCAGGCCGTTTACGGGGCCCGGGTTGGGCGGGGCCTGCAGCCAGCGCGGCTGCCTGGTCGCGCAGCAGCCGCACCAGGAAGCCGATGTACTTCATGGCCAGGCGGAGCACCTCGTTCTTGCTCAGCTTCCGGTCGGGCGGGTGAGTCGGCAGCAGTTTCCTGAGCTCTGCGAAGGCGCCGTTAACGTTCTGCTGCCGCCAGCGCTCGCGGCTGTTGGTGAACACGCGCCGTGCTACCTTCTGGGGCTGGTGCCCTGCAGATAGGACGGGCGGGGCTACCCTCCAGGCCCAGAGGGCACCCCCTCCCAGCCTCACTTCAGGCACAGCACCTTCATGGGATTTACGCCCAGGTGGTGGATTGTGGCACCACCACACAAGGGATCCATGTGTGGGGTCCACGTGTAGCTTCCCCTCTGCCCACGGGCCCCACAGAGAAGGATCCTAAGTCCAGACTGTAGACACCAGGGCACTTCTCTGCACCTTCATACCCATGGCTGAGAGTCCCCAAGGAAACGTTTCCTTGGAGCTGTCACTCTGAGAAACTCCCCCTGCGGCCCGCATTCTCAGTGTGCAGCTGGGTGTGCCTATCTGCCTATCGTTCTGAGAAGTGCTCACATTGTTGGTGACGGTGGTCCTGTTGGGGTCTCATGTGGCCAGGTGATTCCTGATGGCTGTGCTCATGTGTGACGCTATCATGTGATGGTGGATGTTTCATGCATAACTGTGGTTCTGTGGCTGACTCTTGTGTGGTTGTGGTTGTGTGGATGTCTCCTGTGTATCTTTGGTCCTGTGGCTCTTTCATGGCTGTATGTCCCAGTGGAGCTGTCATTTTGTGGCTCCTATGCCCCACTGTGGCCAACTTTGTTTTGCTGTGACTGTGCAGCTGTGAGGCGTGGCTGCTCAGTGACAGTGCTCGAGTGGGGTTACCTATGGAACTGTAGTCTTGTACTTGGGTACGACCTGTGTGTGCACGTGCACGTATGTGTGTGCATTGGAAACACATCTTCCTGTGGAAGAGTGTGGTACAGACCTGGGCCCAGGCAGAGAGAGCCACTCACAAGTACACACACACACACACACACACACACACACACTCACCCTCAGCCAGGTCCAGCTCACAGTGGCTTGGTCTCCGCTTCAGCCGACTGCTAGGGAAGATGCTAAAAGGTCCTGCTGGCCCAATGTAGACGCTGTAAGGGTTTGTGGGTCACAAATGCCTTGTGGGCAAGGACCCTGGCCCCCAATATCCAACACCACCCCCAAGCCCCAGCTCCCCACTGACCTGTTGAGGAAGGGGTGAGGGTGGTAATGCAGAGCCAGGGTGGGCGGGGTAGTTCCCAGAGTGGAGAGGTGCAGCAAGGGGGGCCGGAGGGCACTCAGCTCTGTGGTGGGCATGGCTGCCCCTGGGGGCCTGGTATGACCCAAGCTGATCACTGGTACACCAGGGGGCAACCTAGATGGGGAGCCACCTCTGTGGCCCACCTCATCTGAGGGTAGAGGCCCAGGTGAGGCAGGCTTAGTGGGTGGGACAGGGGCTGGGCTGGAAGCACAGACCATCTCGGCCTTCTCAGTCATGGTGGGGCCCACCTCTGCCAGGGCCTGGGGTGGGCACATGGACCCCGAGGAGGGGTGCTCACCTGTGGGAGGGAGGGGAGCCAGTGGGAGGAGGAACAGGTGTGACCTCCCCTCACCTGCTTAGGCTAACAGAACCTTCAAATGGAAAGTAAAGCGGGGAGGAAGGAGGGTGGAAGTTCAGTGGGAAAGACAAGTGAGTGATTCCAGAAACTACCAGGACATCGGAGGGCCTTCTCTACAAGAGAGGGGTTGTCTACCAGGTGGTAGGCAGCATGGAGCCTGGCAATGCCTTCTCTGGGCTGTGTTGTGAGGGGATGTGCCTCCAATTTCTCCCAGAATTCCCTCTCACCTACAGCCTAGAGCTGAGACAAAGCAGAAGCCCCCCACTGACCCTGGGATCTCCTGAAACTCCAAGATTGAAACTGTGACCCTCAGATCTGAAGATCTGATTCTGAGATCCTTCACTGACTCATTGGTGCCATGTGACCTTGGAGTCCCTCCAAGATCCACTCTCTTTCTCTAGCCACCCCTTCCCCCCCACACACCCCAAGGCTGGCCCCATGGACTTCAGGTATGGCCCTGAGGTTCTTTACCCTGCCTCCACATTTGACCCTGGAAGCCCTCCATAATTGCTCTGGAACTCTCGCTCCTGCTGAAAATGTTCCCCTTACTAATCCTGTAATCCCACTATCATAGGGTGATGATGGTGCCTGATGCTGACCCTGGGACCGACAACACTGTTTCCAGTGCCCACTCCAGCTCAGTCTAGCTCACACCCTCCCTCTGGCTTAGACACCCACCCCCACCAGCATCTATACTTTTGCACCCTGCTTTTTTTTTTATTTTTCTTTTTTGCAATGCTAGGAATTAACCCAGGACGTTGCCCATGCTAAGGCCAGTGAGCTGCACTCCCAGCCCTGCACCCTTCAAACATTCCTGTCTGTGGGACCCCAGGGTCTGGGGTGTCCCAGCAAGGTGTGGTACTCCTTGCCCCTCTGCCCTGACTTCTCCAGCTGGGGGAGCTGGTCTGGCCCCAAGCTTAGGGAATCCTGGCTGATGAATGAATGAATGAACGAAAAAGGAATGCTGGTGGGGTCCCAGGCAGAGACCCTCCACCTTCAAGCCGGCTCCCTTCTTACCCCGGCGCTGTTCCAGCAGCCTGGTGAGTGCCTGGGCTCTGTCTCCGCAGGACTGGCAGTCCAGGCCAGGATGCGGTTTCCGCTGTCGGGGTTCAGCCAATGCCCTCCAGGGCGCCCCGTCGGCCCAGGAGTTGGGCCGCGCCTCCTACCGGGCTCCCGAAGGCCGCGGCGGCCGGTGGCGGCGTGGGTTCCCCGAGGGAAAGTGAACGGCTCCCGGCCTGGCCCGCCCTCTCCCCGCCCCCGGCGGCCGGGTTTCCTCCCTCTCACCCCCGGCGCAGCGGCCAGAGGATGCTGGGCCAGCTCAGATAAGGGCCAGGCCGCCTGGCCGCGCCTGATAAGGAGCCGGGCTGACCCCGGAGGAAACCGGCGGGCGGGGATCTCCGAGCGCGCGCCTCCCGGCCCCGCCCCCGGCCGGCGCGGGCAGCACTCGGCGGTCACCCCTCACCGTCACCCCTCACCGGCCGGCTTTCCGCTTCCCCAGGCACCGGAGTACCCCGGCCCCAGCGTACAGCCTGGGGGAAGGGCCCGGATGCATACCGAGGGGAAACCGAGGCATGGAAACTTCAGCCTTTGGTGTTGTCTGGATCTGTCCTTTGGCTTTGAACACCCCCTGCCCTAATGGAGTGTCTCTGCTGATAGGGTGGAGGGGGGCCCTTTCCGGCCCACTGGGGCCTCGTGACCCGGGCCCCCTTCTCCCCTCCTAACCCGCCTGGTTGGTTCCTCTTTTTTTTTTTTTTTTTAACAGATCCCCTCCCAACTTCTCCACCCCCATGACGGGGTGGGGCACCCCAGGATATACAGTTCTGGTGGCCTGGCTTTGAGCGGCTGGGCTGAGCAGTGTTCTGGGCTCTGGGGCACACTCCACCCATTTCCAGGTCCAGTTCTTAGGTGATGGGACTGGAGAGGACTTCAGTGGCTGCTCCAATCAGTCCCCACAACCTGGATGTCTGGACTACTTAGTCACCCCGAAGGGTGGAGCCACCTCCTGGCTGGCAGCATCCTGGAATGATGGTTCTGTTCAGGACCGGGCTGAAAGCTCACAAAGGGAGGGGCTCTGGTCACAGCTAAGTAGCAGCACAGGCCTCTCTTATCCCCTATCCTGCATAAGGATCTGTTCTCCTTCGCCCTGTATCTGGTTAACGGCAGGGGTTCCCCAGGCAGGCCCTCCACTGCCACCTACCACCACAGCTACCATTCTCCCTGGAGTCCAGAACCAACCGCCCTCCTGTCCCCCACCCCACCTAGGGGAAACTCAAGTTTTAAGCCCTTGAATTAATTGATGCCCCTGCAAGGAAGTTCTAGAATTGGTCTTCCTTTTCAGCTGGGGATGAAGGGTGCACGTGGTGGACAGGAATTTTGCCCCAGGATTCCCCCTAAGGTTACTGAGCCGCTGCCCTCGGGGGAGGGGGATGCAGCTTCCCTTCATTGGGTGTCTGGGCAGCAGCCTGCTTGGCCCCTCTCTTCAAGCACCCCCACTTGGGCCACAGGGCAGGAAGCACCTGGTCTGGAGCGGATGTACAGAGTGCCTGGTTCCGGTCCAGCTTCCGCCGCCACAGCCCCGGGAGAGCTGGGCCAAAAGAAACCAGGCAGTGGGGAGGCGGTGGCAATGGGAGGACACACTGGTTGCACTGGGCCCTGGAGGGCTCCAAGGGAGGGGGGAGGAGAAGTCCCACGGGTGCGAGCGCAAGGCTGCCGCCCTGTGGTCACCTTGGGAATCGCAAATGGCAGCTCTGGGGGGTGTCTAAGCAACCCTTTCCGCAGAGGGACATACCACACATGGTCAGCTCGTATTCCCAGTCAGGCAGGGACAGACATCCCCCAGTCAGGCAGATGCACAGCCACCTCAGGTAAGGAAAAAGGAGACAGAGGACTAGGACCCAGTCACACTGCTGGATGGATGGGAAGGAGGCCCTCACAGCCCACAGCCAGCCTCCCCACTCAGAATGACAATCAGCAGAAAATGACATGTCTTTATTGGCTCAGTCTACACCTGGCCCAGCAGCGGGCCCCGGGTCTAGGGGGGTTCTGGTTGGGGGGGTCTCTGGGCAGTCTGTGGAGGTGGCATCAGCTGAGGCTCCGGGCAGAGGACTGTGTGAGTAGCAGCACTGGTCTCCTCGTTGACAGGTGCCCTGGTGGGAAGAGGGCGACGTGAAGCCCCCTCTGCAAGCATGTGGCTGGCCCCAGTTGTTTCAGGCCAAGAGGGGTATCCACATGCCCAGAGGTTTTGGGGAGACAGGAGGTACCTCACCTCCTTGAACCTTTTGCAAGGAAACGTCTTTAGGCGAGCAGCGCGCTGGGCCCGATCCTCAGGGGGGTCCTTCCGCTTATTCTGGAGGAGCTTGCATCTCTCCAACACTTCGCTGGCTGCCTTGGCCCTGCAGGTAGACAAGAGACAAGAGTGCTGGGACCCCAGCTGGTGGCTGCCTCCGCCTGGCCCTGGCAGAGCCACAACCCCACTCACCCTGGCCGAGCTCGGGGCCGGGGACCCCAGTTGGCCTCCGGGTTGGCCTGAAAGCGCTTGAGTCCCCGCTGGCGCGAGCTGGGATTAGCATCCTCCCGAATGGTGAAGTTGGCCTGCAGCCTGGGCAATGGGGATAAGGACTGGGGCAGCCACCGCATGGGTGTCCAGGGACCACTGTGGAGCCTGTCCAGCTTGGTGCAGCTTGCCGTGGCTGCCCCTGCCCGGGTTTGTCATTCATTTAATAAACATTTTGCTTTTACTATCAAGTCTGCATGGTTCTCTCTGCTGGGAATAGGCCTGCGTGAGGCAGGGCTGACTGTCTAGCGCAGGGGACAGATGAGCAAGCAACGGGTCAGATCAGAAATAGGTAAACGAGGTTGCATCAGGACATGTGGTGAGCGTTCTGGTAAAAGGCACAGGGAGCCAGGAGGGGTGCGATGCCAGCCCAGGTGGTGGGGTCAAGGCAGGCTTCCCTGGGGAGGCAGGAGGTGAGAGGCAAGCCGTGCGGAGAGCGAGCACAGGCAGAAGCTGGAGGTGACCGCCCAGCGAGACTAGGAGTCAACAAGGAGCAGAGAGCACAGAGAAGATGATGGTGGGGGGCTCTTCAAGGTCTGGGGGGCCACAGATAGGACTTTGGTTTCTCTCGAGTGAAGTGGGAGCCATGGAGGGCTCTGGGCAGAGGAAGGGTGCTCTGCTGCTTCAGACATGCACAGCCCCCGCCCCCCCAGCAGATGGCGATAGCCAGGATGCGGGTGGGTCTGGAGGGCAGAAGCTGAGGGAGGAGCGGCCAGGCTTTGGATTTCCTTGAAAAAGTCCGTGCAGGGAGGATTTGGCCTCTGCATACAGGGGTCCCCATACCATACGTGGGCCGCCCTGTTCCCTCCCGCAGTTCCCATCTGTACCTGGGCTCCACACTGAGGATGCGGAATGCTGGGCTGGTCTCAGACAGCCGCTCCCGTTTCACAGGACACGTTTTCTCCTGAGAGAGGAGGTCAGGGGATGTTGGGCCCAAGGGGCCTTCAGGGGACCGGCACCCGCCCATCCCCGCGTGGTCAGCCTGCCCTCACCCACCCAGCAGCGCATTATGTCCCAGAGAGCCGTGGAGGGGGCGTCCGTCTTCACGGCACTCTTACAGGCGTGGGAGAGTGAGACCCGGAAGCCAGCATGGAGGAGGGCCGACCTGGGGACAGCAGGGACTGTGATGGGAGACTGGACTCCTCGCACAGGAGTGGCACACCAGCGACCACAGCAGTAAGGCCACGCATGGGCGGCCTGGCGGGCCAGTGTGCTGGAGAACCCTGGCCACCCCCACCCCACCCTCACCGCAGCTGGAGGAGGCTGGGCGTGTTGCAGTGGATGGTGCTGCTCAGCTGGTCCAGCGTGTAGTACAGGGGCACATCCGGGAGCTCCTGAGGGGGCACAGGAGGGGCTGTGCAGCTGGTGGACAGGACAGGCTCAAGAGGACATGGGCACAGGTGGGGGCCCCTCCACCAGGCACGGCCCACCCCTACCTCAGTGATGACACTCAGGACTCCCCGAATCCGCTCTGAGGTGTGGAAGCGCCCAGGGTTGGTGCTCACAGCCTCCAGGACACGGCCCACAAAATCCAGGTTGTGGATGGGCTCTGCCCACAGGGGACCACCAAGCTGCGGACACACAGGGAGCAGTGAGCAGGGGCGGCAAGTGGCCGCTGGGATTGCTGCACCCCCTCCCTCCGCTGGCTCAGTCCTACCTGGTGTCGCTGCCCACAGTGCTCACACTCGGGGCTCACGGGGGGACCACAGGCTGCAGAGAACTTGACCCTGCAAGGGGCAAGGCAGTTAGGCAGGTGGTGACCCTGGGACACCTTCACCCTCCTGCCCAAGGACCCCTGCTCACCGGCCACCAGAGGCTTCTGCTGCTTTGCCGAGGCGCTGAAGGTGCAAGGCTCCACAGCCCACGCACTGGAAGACCAGCGCCTGCTTGCTGTGGGGTCCAGGGCATGGCCATGAGCTCCCAGTGTGGTCGCCACGCCAACTCCTCCTTCAGACTGGCTCCATCCCTTTTAGGACCCCCAAGTCCCCAGGACGAGGCCTGATCTCCCCCTCAATCCTCCATGCCTCCCCTGCCCTCCGCTGACCTGGCTGAGGCCTTGACCTTGGCCTGGCCTGTGAAGACGCGCACAAACACACGCACGTAGAAGTCTGCGCTGATGCTGAGCAGCGGCACCACAAAGCGCTGGTAGCAGTTGGCGCGGAGGTCCAGGCTGTGCAGGACGATCCTCAGGGCCTGGGGGCGGAGGATGGGGTCAGCCCTCCCTCCAAGGTCCCCTCTGCTGCAAGGGGCCGCACACACACAGTGCTCAAAGCACCCGTTCCAGGCTGGTTCCCTAGGTTCCAAACCCAGTCCCAAGTGTCCTGGCTGTGTGACCCCGGGGGCTAGCCAGCAGCACCCCTGGGCTCCGTTTCCTCATCCGCAAAATCACAACCGTCCCTGTGTCTTTGTGGCCTTGCTGGAACTAATGAATGAGGAATGGTCATCCTTCTGTTGACCTTGTCAGTGTGCCTCCTTCACTGTGGACTGTGGGCTGAGGACCTAAGTTCTAGCCCCAAGGGCTCTGTGTAGGAAGTGGGGACACTATGTGATGCAGAACTGCCCAGCCTTCTCCTTGCCAGAGGCTGCCATGAGACTCCAACATGGGAAAGGAGGTGGGTGGGCATTTCCCAGACTGACCTGGGAAATGGGCCTCGAGGAACAAGGAGCCCCTGCCTCAACTCCCCACAGCAACCCTCTAGGGTCGGTACCATCGTCATGCTCGTGTAATAGATGCAAAACCAAGGCCCAGAAAGGTGCTGTCAATTGCCCAGCAAACATCTGAACCAAACCTGGAAAAACAACTCTTTTTTTTCCTTACGCTGAGCGCAGTGGCAGGCCCCTGCAATCTCAGCTACTTGAGGCTCAAGTAGGAGGATCACAAGTTGGAGGCCAACATAGCAAGATTCCATCTTTAAAAAAAAAAAAAAGAGGAACAAGTATGCAACCACCTACTGCTACCCGGCCCCTTAAAGACCTGTTTGTGGTCACTCCCTGGATTAATCTAGCCCTGGCTGCCTGGAGGAAGCAGAGCAGGTCTTAGG